ATCTGCCTGTTCTGCTCCCCACTCTGTCTCTGGTGAATCCTCTCACCCTCCACATCTCTGGCCTGTACCCCAGTTCTGTATGAGTAAATAAATAAACCTTTTAAAAAAAGTAATATCAAGTAAAATGAAGTCTCTTTGAACCTGTTTCTATCAGAATGCTTATCTTACTTAGAACCTTTTCTGTATGATGAGGAGGGTTGAAACCCGATTGGGGAATGCTCTGAAATGCCCAACTAATAAGAATTAGATTTAAGATGAGGGAGAGCTGACTCCTAGATAGTCTGGTTTCATAGCAAATAAAAGTTGGTTTTTTGCTTATGGTCTTTTTTCATTAGAGTTTTATTTTTCTTTGAAACATATTTGACTATGTAAATGCTTATGGCAAGGTAAACAGAGGGGATAGACACAGAGGGAAGAAGAGTAAAAACATACAGAAAGTTAATGAGAAGTTTGAAGGTGGAGATCAAAGAAGAGCATTAGGCTCATGAAAAAAAGACATCTGAAGATGAAGACCTGAAAAAGCCCCCGGCTACAGGGCAGATGTGTTTGGCTGCATAAATTGTGGCTTCTTGACAAAAATGTCTAAGTGACTGTTTAGTTCATAGAAGGGGCACTAAAACTTCTGAAAATGATAATGTCATTGAAAATACCTTCTTTTCTGTTCTTTCTTTTTTTTTTAATTGAAGAGTAATATAGATGACAAGAGATTTTTTTTTTTTTTCTGAAGAGTAATATAAATGACAAGAGATGGTTCACTCCAGTTTTTGCCTAAGCTTTTGGGCTTATTTTAAGACATAAGTAATAATTCTAATGGCGGGGCATGTTTGTGTTCCCTGGAAATATATGTTTGATATGTTTGATATCTTCAAGTGAAAAGAGATTTCCAAGTGACATCTGTAAGAACATCTCTAAGTTATGTTAACATGATACATTTGTGCTTGTTTATTTATAACAAGGAAAGTTTCCTTTAATACAACCATCAAGAAAAAAAAAAGAATGATGTTAAGGTCAAAATGTAAAATAGAAAGCATGCAGCTAATTTTTATTTATCATAGAACTTTAGAACTATACTGACTTAAGTGGATCCATCATTTAGTGCTCTGATTTGAGCATTTCTTAAAATATCAAAGACAATTTACAGCATGAGGATAAGTACAAATAACACATGATCTCTTCCCTTTTTCCTGATTATGAAATTAATGTTAAAATAATACATTAAGCTTAAATATTGTGTTATCTTCTCTGAAAATAACTAGAACAGATTAATGTAATCATTTAATTCTTCCCTCCCCCTCATTTTAAAATATATCTTAGATTTTTCTTCTTGAGAAATCTAAATAAGAAAGGTTTGGGCTATTTTGTGATAATTATATATATATATATATATATATATATATATATATATATAGCCAATTTATTACCTGAAATGACTGAAACATAATTAAAAAGAAATTTAATGATGTACAATTAGATTATACACAAACAATTGGAGGCATTTTCTTTATGATACTCTGATGAGAAATGGTTGGCATTTGATGAAATCTTTAGAATAAAATTTTAATTGGGAATAATTTATGCTTTCTAAGTATAATAATCAATTTTCTTGTAAGTTACCAATATGTCATTATATAGCTCTATATATGTATTTATTTATATATTTAATTGATAAATTGTGGATCAAATATCTTCCATAATAGAGGAATATTGACAAATATTCAAAACACCAAGAGGTGTAGTTTACAAAGGAAGCCACAGAAACAAATTAAAATATAAAACCCAAAGTAAAGGTTAAATATTTTTAATGAAATTTAATATAGGTGTGTCATGAAATGTCAATTATAATGAAACAGTCCTTTCTCGAGAGTAAAATCACACATAGATGGTTGTAACTAATCTTTGGAAGATATGAAAAAAATAATATAAGAATTACTATCTCTTAGGCACACTGCTTATGGATAATGTACTTTATTAACATTGTTGCTGATTTTTAAGGAAATTCAATAATGAAAGTGTTTTTTTTTTTCATTTGAGAGAATAAGCTTTAACTCAGAAGATTTAAGATTTGTTCTGAAGCACATACCTAGTAGGTAGAGAGTAAACTAATTTAAGATAGAGATTTAAATTTTATTGTAATGGTTCAAACATGCATGTTTTTTAAACTGTATGCTCTGAGTTATTGCATGGAAAGACAGAGTTTCTTGATTTGTACATCAAGGCAATAACAGATTTTTGACTTAGCAACAGATAGCACTATGATCAGTGCTATATTTATTCTAAGATGACTATTGGTACAATAGATGTCTGAAGATGGTTGGTTGAATCCACAAAATAAAGCACACCCTCACACTTCTGGCCTACACCATTAAATCTTTCATTGGTTTTAAGGAAACTCTTGGATACACCTTTAATAATGGAACTGTGGGTAAAATAAATAACCCACTGCAAAGACCAGTATCTCTGAAAAGCTTTTGTATCTATTACAAGTCTTAGCCCTCATATAAAATTATGTTTGCACCACAAGTTATGTATATAGATGAGGCTTTCAAAGTAGCAACTATCCTGGAGGCTTGCACATCCCTGACACCTTCATGGCTTCCCCCAGAACTGAGTTAATCAGGATCTCAGTACTCCTGAGATTCATTCACAGCCAGGACTTTAACATGCTCTTCTTTCTTTCTTTCTTTGAAAGATTTATTCATTTATTCATATAGAACTGGGGTATAAGCCAGAGGTACAGGGGCAGTGAGAGGATTCACCAGAGAAAGAGGAGGAAGCAGAACAGGCAGATCGACAAAATACACTGCTGAGGGGAGCAGCACGAGGGTCAGAAGAGGTCTGCTAAGCTATGTAGATCACCTTCTGGGCAGGGGATTGAACTTGCACTGAAGCTGCCGCCAGCATGTTCTAACCCGTTGCACTACCAGGGAGGACCCAGCATGCTGCTCTTTAAAGAAATGGAAGACACCATAGATAAATTACAGTAAGAATAGTAAAACAAAGGTTAGGATAAGCTGGAAGAAACCAAGCTTCCTGGGGCAGGTAAGAAATCATAGTCAAAAGAAGAAGAAGAAAAAAAAATAAGGGAGGGAGTAAGTAAGCACCCAACTAATCTGCTTACATCTTGGCTTTGCTTCCTTTAGAAAAATGGGACATTTAACACCCTTGTAATAATTTGAGCTATAATGTGTAAAGGAACTCTGCAGAACATGCCATGTTCATATATATAATAAGACTTCTAAAATAACTAGCACCCATGGTAGTGTACATTTGAATATCTACAGATTGTTTTAAGTTGCTATGCTTTTATGATGCTCTTTATCCATTTTAAGCAAACATTGTGACTTGCCTTAATTAAAAAAATATTTTTATTTTTTACTTTCCTTTCAAGGAAATCCTGGACAAAAAGGGCAGAAAGGGGAAAAAGGAGATGGAAGGGTAATAGGTAAGTGCAGTTCCTTTTTATATTTTTTAATTAATTTGACTGTGATGGTAGTGATCTGAGTTTGTGGCAACTGTTGCAAATGTCAGCATTAATCCATAGAAATTCCCTGGAAGTCAGCCATAGTTTTCTAAAAATAAAATATACATTGAATTATATAACTTTGACTCTTATTATAATTTGTAGCTTATTATTTTCTAAACACTCCATGTAGAAAATTGTTCAATTTTCAAGTCAATTTCTTCTGATGAAGGAAAATCAAGTTTATGAATAGAAACAATTACAGACTCTTTACCTAACTGAGAGAACTGAAATGTTATATCTAGGAATATAGACAATATAAGAACTCTGAAAGAACAATTCTCTGGTGGGTTGGATTCTTTTTGTCTTTTGTTCTTCTAAAAACTTGAAAAGTGGTATTCTGTGTCTATATCTTCAAAATTACAGTAGAATAAATTTTATAACAGAGAGTTCTGTGGATGGAATGCTGACCTCATATTGCAGTGTAGAGATCTGTAAATGAGAACTTAAGTTCTAGATCCTAGATAAGAAATTCTTCAATATGGCATAACATAATCCAGTTCTTGTGTATTCAGGACAAATCTATATAGATACAATAAAAGAATAATAAAATAATAAAAAAAAACAATGAGACTATTTCATTTGACTCTTCAGAATCCAAGGGTTACCGCCCTGTAATCCCACTAAGAGCTACAAGCAATATTGTGTGTCTGTGGGAAAAGCTGATATACACACAGTCATATAATCTTTACCTGTCTTGGGGTTATTTTCAACAGAAAATAGCTAATTATTAGATGTACCAAAATGTAGCAGTTTTCAATTGTATTTGTTATTAAAAATGTAGTACTAATTCCTCTTTTAGCAAAAAATAATTAATTTAGTATATTAGTATTTGTAATAAGGAGGCTAAGTCTAAGTAATGTGGAGTCATCATTTGTAAAGGCCAGACAAGGGGAGTATGACATAGCTAAATGATGCTTCCAGATTGTTAAATTGTTGACCTATGTTTGTCCCATGAGGCATAGATCCCCTCATCTTCAATGATTATTAGTGTTATTATAGGAAGTTGGTAGCACCATTAGTAAGTCTTTTCTCCTTTGTATTCATTTGTTCTTTGAAGTGATCACTATCTGCTGTGCACTTTTTATTGTGCTTATTTTCCCTTCTTGTTGTTACATCATTTCTTTTCAGTTGAGTCGCCTGTCTTCCTGTTTACTTTTGTCTTTATCTTTGATTCTTTATTTCCTCTACTTGAGACTTTCTTTGAACTTCTTAACCTTGACTCTGATTAAACTTAGTAAAGAAGGGACTTCTTTATTTTGTAATCTCTAAACTGATCACCCACACTATTTTCTGTTTTTTTAAAGTTGTTAAATGTTCTGAACATTTTTTTTCTTAGGTATGTTCAGAAATGTTTTCAGTTACACATATTTTCATGGCTATGTTGAAGTTTAGGTGCATTGTTTCTGTGCAGGAGTCATAAGAAATATTCTGTGCATGTGTCTGTATTCTCCAGATTCCTTTCACGCATCCCCAACCCCATGAACAGTATAGAACTCTGTAGTTCAAAAAGAGAGGATGTGTGTGTAGATGTATTCGTGTATGTATGTATACACAAACTCTCTTTTATTCATTTTCCTTATTTAATATTGTGGTCATCTGCCCATGTCAGTGTACATCAGTCTACCTCCTCTCTCTCAGGGACAATACTGAGAAATTATCCCATTATTACAACATTCCATCACACAGTGATACCATAATATAGTCATCTACTCCCCTAGTTATGAACACTTAAGGGTTTTTGTTTATATTGATTTAACTTTAGTAAACAAACTAATGATACATTCAGTATTCTCATACATGATCATATGGACATTCTTTTCGTAGAGAATTTGATAGAAATAGAACCAATGGTTGAAAGGCTCCATGCATTTTAAAACCTAATGGAATCTTGTAAATAGCACAAGACAGTTTGCACCAACTCACTATACCTGAGGGTGCCTGATTCCCCATATCCTCAGTTAATTCTGTTATAAGAACATGCATATTTAACTATTTTAATATTTAATAGATATTTTTTATATTTTTCAGGAATGATTTAAATATAATAAAATAATCATCGATTTCCTTTTATATATGTATCAAGACCAGTACAACTCCCTGATCATATTAGGGCAGGACCCTTTTAAGATCAGGTGTCTTGAGCAGGATACCCTCTGCTGCCATCTCACTAAAAGGTCCTTCACCTCTGGACAACTCACCAGCACAACTGACTCCAAGATCCTTTTGTGACTCCTCCGAACAACTGTGGCTTCCACATGGTATTTTTCCCAATAGTTTGTGCTGTTGGGCTTCTGCTCCCATGCTCAGTCTTCTCCCCCATCCAGCACATCACCATTACCCCCATCTCAGTATCTCCAGCTGGGACCCCTCCATGTACTGACCTTCAGGCTCCACAAGTCAGTCCTCTGTCTATTGCCATCACTTATCTAGTGTCTTGCTGATCCCAATTTAACACATCATATCTAGGAGAAATCTCATGATATTGATTATATGTGGAGACTTCACACTATAAAATATATATATATATATATATATATATATAATCAGCCAGAGTTAGGCATGACAAAAGAAAACACATTCATTCACTTATTCATTCAGTTCCACAGCCTGTGTTCTTTGTGTATCTCCTGGAGCTGAACATTAACAGTTAAAAATGAATGCTACTGTCTTTGGCCTTACAGAGCTAATTGTTCATGAAAAGCATAGACACATAGACAGGAAATTTTATAAACAGCAGAGCTGTATTATGGGAAGAATAGGCTTCTACAGGTGTTCAGGAGAGGTCAAGATTTAAAGTACTTTAGAAAATTAAAAATGGAATTTGATTTTTATTTTCTTAGTTTCCCTCTTTGCTTTTAATTTTCTAAATAATAGTACTGTTTTTCATGTTTTATGATGAAGTAAAAGAGAACTTGGGCAGTTTATTCCACACATTTGAATCAAAATACAAAGCCTGTTTTCTATAATTACCTAGCTCTTTCAAGCAGATAGTTTGATCATGAAAAGAAAAAAATGCTGGTTTTGTTTTTGTTTTTGTTTTTTAGTTTAAAAGCTCTATGTTTTATGCTATATATATGCCACACAGGTCCTACACATATAGTGTAGCACATATAGTATATATAAAATACTAATGCAACTATATATACATAAATATATTTTCAGTGTAACTGGATTTCTTTTGTGTATATAAAGAAAGGGATGAAAATTAGAAAATAGAAAATGCAGACAAAATGAATAGAAACATGTGGGATTCCATTTTATTTTTGAGGCTCTTGCAGTAAATTAATAAACCACATTTTAACAGGTCTCCCTTCCTATAGTTTGGTGACCCATATCATTCAGGTACAAGGAGAATTCTGAGTTCTTCTGTGTGTCTGTCTCACCACCTCTGTCTCTTCCCTTGTAAAATGGACACCTTAACACCTACCTCACAGGGTTGTTGTGAGGGCCAAATAAGATATTGTATGCTTGAAGGTGCACTATAAAATCATAAAATGCTTTAAAGACATAAAATGTGGTTCATAGTAGATTCTCTGAGTGGAACGCTTTCCTCACTGATAAAATGCAGACATTTAAAATCTGTAATCGGAATAGATATGAGAACAAAATGAAAATGCAAGAAGCCAAATACATGTCATGGACAAAATGAGAGATGCCAGAGAATAAGATTTTACATTAGACAGAACAACGCAAGTGTGACCAGATCACAAATCAATGAATTTGTCTGAACCAAGCAGAAGAACATAAGTTATAAATAAAAGGACCAACTAAACAAAGTGCATGGGAGAGGCCAGAAGCTGTCAACAGAGGTCAGAACAAAATGTCAGGCTAATGAAATAGGAGTCCAGGCTATGAAGGACAAAGCATGAGCCCAAGCTGCTGCTGATGAAAAAGCTTCAAGAAAGGTTGAAACAAATTAGAATTGTCAGTGGTACTCTGAATCTGTGCCTGCGTGCCAACAGTCTCCTGGAGAAAAAGGAGAGGGAAGGAGAACACCCAGCTAGTCTACACAGCCCTCCATACTAGCAAGGTGGGAAGGTCAGCTTGTCAGATACTGGAAATGTCTAGAGATTAGTTGGACCTGTTTGTCCATTGTTTAACTGGATACACCTTCCTAGTGCACAGAGCACTAGGCTCAGCCGGCACCTGAAACCTTCACTTTCAGCTGGCCTTGGTTCACTTTGGCCACAGAGTGACCTTGAACCTAAGCTGCTGGGAGACATTTCCAGGGAATTGAGTTCACAAATTATCTGATACCCCAGACCAGAGATCTGTTCTAAAGTTTGTAAAATGCTAACCCAAACTTTCCAAATTAGGTGGAAAGGATCTCTCTCTTTAGACAGAAGTAGATGCTACATGTGCAGTTCAAATGCACAGATTGTTCCAAGTTTAATAATGTATAATGAGGAGAACATGTATGCACCAGCCTCTAATTCTAGTCATAATGATTGGTCTTCTGAACTGTCACCTTAACTGGGAAGGGTAAGTGTTTCAATCAAGCAGAATGAATCTCACCATAAAATTACACACTGTATGAGGCTCTGTCCCAAACATACTAATTAGTAGACAGTGGTTCATCAGTAGTTGTTACTGTGCTTTGTTTATGCCTAATGAGACTGTCACTAGGATGTGAACTTTAAAGGATCTTATTTTGAAACATATACAGTGGTAACAAACATCAACTTCTCATTTGACTGAGAACTCAGCTCAATCTTAAATGAATCCTCTTTCTCAAAGGATTCAATAGACCAAAGCAAAATCTGTAGTGACTAAATAATTATAACAATGAATACATAGAGAATATCTGCTGTGTACTGGGTCTTTTTGTTGCATTATCTAATCTAGTTCTCAGAAGAGCCTTTAAGGTAAGTACTATTATTATTCCTAACATATAAATTAGAAACTAAAGCTACTACTAA